ACAGCGCTCTTTGCTCACAGAAGGAGCATTTCCTCCTCTGCTGTGCAGCTTTGGCTCTGTTTTCTGCAGTGGCCCGTATTATTTGGCTGTTGCAGGACAAGTCACGTTACTACCAGTTGCGTTCTAAGGAACTCTTTCTAAGGGACACTTTCCCTTTTAGGGCACTGTGTTTCTCTCTCTGTGTGTGTAAAAATAGGCCAGGAACTCGGTCATCTCCTCTCCATCTGTATAAGCTCAGAATCTCATGGGTTCCCACACACAATGGAAAGGTGCTAACCAGGCATGATGCAGCAGAAGTGGAAGGCATGGAATGGTTGCATCTGATTTTCCTAGGGCATGTACAGCAAGGAGAATGGGGAAACAAAATCGCGCTCAGCTTGAGCAAAACTTTTGATTCATGCAGTACGTGGGTTGCTTTCTCCCGGGCAGCTTATCCTTTCTGCAAGAGGTGCTGGGGCTTAAATCCGGGGCTTCCACGTGCAAAGCTGGTGGCCCCAGGCCGACTCCCAGTCAGACACCACGACTCCCTGAGTTCTGTGAAGCAGCTGAATGTGTGGTTTGCTCGGACGTGCTGGTGTTCCAGCAGCCCCGGCGTGAAACGGTGGTGCTTGGCCGTAGCTGGGCTGGGAAGACACCCCGGCCCCCCAAAGAGAGCTATGTAAGAACCACCCTTCCTGCAAGCGGCAGTTCTTGCTAGCCATCTAGAGTAGCCTTCCCCGACTTGGATCCAGCTCCATCCTGCGAGTGTGGACCCACAGCAGCATGGGGAGGGTGCGTTTCCACACGTGTTGTCCATAGTAGATGCTTCCAACGTGTCCACGGTTGGGTAACAGATGCCAAAGGTCTTGGATGCTGAGCTATCGTACAGATGCCTTTGATAAGATAAGAAAGCTCTCTGTTATCTAAGTTGCCTTCTCTGTTTTCTTTGGCTGAAAGCAGCCTGTATTCCATTGAGAACTGTCTAATTTTAGAATTTTCTGAGCACAAAAGTGATAGCTATATGTTCCTGACTAGTGGAGAATCCCATTTAAAGCTATCTTCTTCCCTGAAGATCATTTCTACCGCATCCGCAATTTGTGCATCCTGAACTGGACATTCCTGGCTTGGGTACAGTTGCTATTATTTAATCTGTATTGCAAAGCCAGCTGGGCTCAACAGAGGACTCTGTTTTCAAAGCCTCTCACCTTGATCTGCTGGAAAGGGGGTGCAGGGAGACTTGCTTACAGCGTTTCTCACCCATGTGACAGTTGGTGATGTGTCAATTTTCTAGCTGCATAGCTCTTTTTCTTTAGTAAGTTCATTTACCTGGAAAGGTATGTTATTTATCATCAGGAAACAGCCTGTTAAGTGCTCACACTTGTCTATATGCCTAATTCTTTATTGCTTTGTTGTTTTGTCACTGGGACTGGGGTGCATGCCACCGTTTTTTCACCGTAGCTAGCTTTCCTTGGCTGCAGGGTGTCGGGTGGCTCACTAGATTTCAAGGAGTAGGAAAACAAAGCCAGTGGATCCCCCTGGGAATGGGGTTTCAGTTTGCAGAGTGGACCACGAGTGGCGATGGAGGAGGAAGAGACAGGTAGACCCCTTCCAGAAATGCAGGGCTCAGCACGAATATTATGCTCCTGGTTTTAGAACTGCACTCGGGACTAAGTCTTCGTCTGGACTGAGATCTCTACCTAAACTTGATGACCTCCCTGTAGAGGCCTAAACGTGGGGCTGGAATGGCAGCGAAGTCTGCCCGTTTTGCTCAGACACAGAGTTCTCCACCAGCTAGTAAGCCCCATGTTCTCCTCTGATGTACCCATTTCCATACCTGGTTTAAGTCCACGCATCTGACTGGGATTAACTGAAAAGGCTGGAAGAGCGTTACTTCATTGATGAATGGTGTGTTTCTAAAGAGACGCGCAAGCCGAGAGGAAGAAGCTCTCATCCTGTAAAGAGCTCATGCATCGCTTGTGTAGTTTCTCTGAAGAATACAAATGCACTCCGGTTTAATAATTGTGATGCAGCTGGAAGAAAATGCCGGAGATCAGAGAAGAAGGGCTCTTGTGGCTAGTTCTCCCGAGCTGGTGCAGGCACCCCTGTGCTGCACGTGGGGTGTGCCCACTGAGCTGCAGGTTCTTCCATACCTAAATGCACCATCCTTGCAGATTTCTGGCGTGGGGAGGGTTCTCCCGTCATCTTCCTCCTCACTTGCTAGGTTGCTGTGGGCAGCGACGGGGCCCGTTTTAGCCCTTCCTGGCCATGCTGGGGGTTGAGCTCGGAGTCTTTTGTGCACTGAGCTGGGCGCCTTCCCTTTCAGCGAGCTTCTGGCTGAAGCATCATTTTGCTAGGCACTTTTAATTTTAATTCCAATTTGAAGACATTTTGTCCTACTGAAATTCTTGGCATTGTTGGCCAGATACTCCCCTCCCCTCCCCTCCGCAAATTGCTGCTTTACCCACACAACTGTGCTCTG